CGGACACAATAAGATTGGCACAGGATAGAACAGGGTTTAGGGCTAGTGTTCATAGAGTTACTATGAGTCACAGGCAACTCGAAAACCCATAACAACAACAACAACAGCAACAATAATCCTCAAATGATGAAATACATCTTGAACTGTGAAAAAAAATTAGATGGCCAAAGCAAAATTGAAAACTATCAAAATATGATTAATACTTTGCAATATCAAATATATAAAACTACAGTAATATAACTTTTTTATATGGGTGTAATGATAGATATATTGGCAAAAGTAACGGAATTTAGAGACCAGAAATAAATCCATACAATTATTTTTATAAGTGTACTAAGTCCATTCAATGGGGGGGGGGAAGATAGTCTTTGGTGGCCTAGTGATAAGGATAAATGCTGTCAACGTGAAGGCAATGGTTCAAAGCTACCTGCTGCTCTATGTGATTTCCTGCCTTTGAAAATCCTGTAGTTGGAGGGTCATCTGTGGGTTGTTTCTGACTTAATACTACACAATAACAACATAACACACTTAGAACAACTTAGTTTTCGTATACATAAAATGAAACTTTATTTATATCATATATAAAGATCAACGCAAAATGGATCAAAGGTCTGACTGTAAGAATTAAAACCATTAAAGTCACAGAACTGGACATATAAGTAGTGTTTCAGGACTTGAAGATCTAATATTAAAGCAATATATTCTTAGATATGATACCACAAACAACACAAGACAAAATAGATAAATAGTACTTGGTCAAAAGTAAAAACTGTTCATGAACAGACTTTATCAACAAATAGACAGATCTGATGATGTAATGTGCCACTTATTATGCTCATAACTATAAAGTCAGGGGGTCAAATTAACCAGCCTCTCTGAGGTAGAAATATGCCTGTTTCATTCCTTAACAACTTACAGCTTCAGAACATAAAGAAGAGTCTTCATGGGGCAGAATCAACTAAAAATGGCAGTGGGCTTGTATTTGCTTTCACTTACATACCTTATAAAGGCTTAAGATTCATAATGAACAAACTGAAGGAATAAAAACCTCCCAAATTTAACAACAAAAAAATAAAAGAAAAAAAGTAAAATATGGGCAAACGGTTTCAACAGAAAATGGTCAATAGGATATGAAAGATGCTCAATATCATTATTAACTAACTTAATGCTGGCTGTTGTTGTTGTTAGGTGCGGTCAAGTCAAATATGACTCAAAATGACCCTGTGAACAAAAGAGCGGAA